TCCTGCTTACTGGCTTTCCGGGCATGGAGAAGGCACACCACTGGATCTCCATCCCATTATTAGTTACCTATATCTCCATACTTCTTGGCAATGGCACTCTTCTCCTTCTCATTAGAAATGACCACAATCTCCATGAGCCCATGTACTACTTTTTAGCTATGTTGGCAACTACAGACCTTGGAGTGACATTGACCACAATGCCCACAGTGCTCCGTGTCCTGTGGTTAAATCATAGGGAGATTGGTCATGCAGCCTGCTTCTCTCAGGCCTACTTTATCCATACTCTTTCTATTGTGGAGTCAGGAGTCTTACTTGCCATGGCCTATGATCGTTTCATTGCCATCCGCAACCCCTTAAGATATACCTCCATCCTTACTAACACTCAGGTAATGAAGATTGGTTTGGGGGTGTTGACAAGGGCTGCTCTGTCAATTATGCCAATAATTATTCGCCTACACTGGTTTCCTTATTGTCGGTCTCATGTCCTCTCCCATGCTTTCTGTCTTCACCAAGACATCATCAAGCTAGCCTGTGCTGACATCACCTTTAATCGTCTCTATCCAGTTGTGGTTGTATTTGCAATGGTGCTGTTAGATTTTCTCATTATCTTTTTCTCCTATATTTTGATTCTTAAGACTGTCATGAGCATTGCTTCCAGAGAAGAAAGGGCCAAGGCCCTTAACACATGTGTCTCCCATATCTGCTGCATCCTGGTCTTCTATGTCACTGTAGTCGGTCTGACATTTATTCACAGGTTTGGAAAGCATGCTCCTCATGTGGTCCATATCACAATGAGTTATATATACTTCCTTTTTCCCCCTTTTATGAACCCTGTTATCTACAGCATTAAAACCAAGCAAATTCAAAGTGGTATCCTTCGCTTAGTCTCTCGGCCTCATTCTAGAGTGTGACTTTGACTCACTGCATTCTGAGGAGTAACTCTGAAACCTAGAAAGGCTGACAACTCTGTTGGCAGAAGCAAACAAAGGCATTACCACGGAAACTGTCTGATCCCTGTGCTACCGACAACATCTTATCTTGCCTACTTTTTGCTGATTTGTACATGACAGAATATATGTGCAATACTAAGTATGTGTCTCAAGTTAACTGTTTACCCCAAGTAATTCACACTGTGATTTAGTGAGTTTATATGGCACCTGATGTACCCACATACACACATAGATAAGTTGATAGATCTCAAGTCTATGGTATGGGTCACCAGTATTTCAGCTGAAGTTCATTGTTTTCTACATGGTCTTTACATATTGGTCCCAGTGTCCCTAGAATCAGGCATTATTATAATTTCCGTTTTGTAAAAAAATTTCTCTAAGAAAACAAATGAACCTTACCCTGTCCTCAATTCAAGACTACAACTCTAGGAAAAGTGTATCTCTGAGAAGTCTATTCAGTTAACATTTTGGTAAAGAAGTATTAGATAACTATATCAATAATTTTACATACACACACACATATAAACATATATATAATTTATTTTTAATTTTTACCATAGGGCATGTGTGTTCATCAGAGAGAGACAGAGAGAGGGAAAGTAAGAAATAACCCCCTGGGGGAATGATTATGCTGCAATCCCTTCTCCACCATCCTCCTATAAGAATTTTGGGCATTCACACACATGTGTCCAGTGTGATTTTCAAACCACCAGGTCTGAGACTTGAACCATGGTTGGCCATGTGGGAATTCAGCACCTTAATCACCACATCACTTGCTGGCCTGGACATATTTTTTAAAGACATTTCTAATCTAGATGACCATAATCTTAACAAGTTAGTCCCAGATCCTGCTTTTAACAGAGTTGTATTTTCATATAATAAAGTGGTATTAAAGGTCCAGTTTGGTAGTACATCATAGGTAAGGCTAGATGGGTATTCCTGATATGTGCAAAATATCACAGTTGAAAAATAGTGGTCATATGTGTAGAGGTGGACGAAAGGGAGACGATGGAGATAATGTTTATGACAAGATGATGAACTGGAATGTTTTGCTCCAAATATCTTTTCAAGGATAAAAATTTTGTTCACAATCTAGGCTTGGGAGAGAGCTTAAGTTATAAGTTTTAACCTACTGAGGGCAAGAGCAATATTTCAGGCATCACTCCCACTTGAACCCACATTCTCTAGTACATTATAGGTTGTCAGTATACTCTGGCTTGATACCAAAATTAAATTTATGTCCCTAATCATTCTTAAAGGACCCCTGAGTGTTTCTCTTCTGAGGGCTCCAATTGTGATCAGTGAGGTATGCATATAAATTAGGGTGAGAAAGTTTTATATCAGCACCAGCACTAGGAACTAAGCAGTTGAGAGACTGCTACGTGCTAGATAGCAGAGGACTTAACTCAATCCACCATTGCCTTGGGATGGATCAATCACCTTGTGGTGCAGTAAGGAAATCAGCATGTCCGGGGGGCTAATTTGGTAATTCACAAAGACTTATAGGGCATGCAATACTGATCCAGTTTAGTGCTGAGGATTATGCGACATAGACGAAGCTGAAGTGAATAAATTAGTGTGTGAAGAGGTCATAACAAGCATTAAGTAGGAAGTTCCAAGGAAACAGAAGGAAATGAGTAAAGGAAATGTAGGAGACCATGGGCGAGGGTCAGAAAAACAGGAGTAAGGATCAGAGAACCAGGCCAAAAGAAAGATTCTTTGTTAAGTAGAATGTTAGAGAAAGGAGAATCAGGATGTCCCCCGGGGACGTAGCTTCTCTAGAAAGAAGTTTTAAATTCAAGAAAATAATTTTTCATTGGTGACTGGCTTCTCATCAACCTCAAACAATAATTTATGTGCTTGAAGGGTTGGGAGGGTTGAAGCAGGGGTGCTATCTGAGCCTTGAGACAACAGGCCCAAACTTTTAGCCCCTCCCAGGACCTGGCGTCTTATCTCTTGGACACATGCCTGTGGTCTCTAGCCATTTCCCTCCCACGGCTTACAGATACTGCCGCCTCCTCCTGCAGTCAACAAACCAGGATAAAGGCCTCTTGGAACAAGACAGAAGATAGTCTCTGAAGTCCCAGTGCCATTCTGAAAGAGAAGTCTTGCCACCCATATACATATGTGTGATCTTCTAATCACTTTGCTATATTAGGTTTCAGTTACTTTATTTTTATCTAGAACAGAAATCCTTCTGAACAAAGGGTTTTTTTTTTTTTTTGAGTAAGACATTTAAAAATTGATGTTTCTAGAAATGAAAAGTCATCTGCTGATGATAATGTACACGGTGATGTCTTTGACGTGACTAATATGCAGTGTATTTATGCTAGGGAATATCATGTGTACACTGTATAGATGTACAGTAAGTGTAAATTTTAAAGATGTTTTTAAAAATGATGCCAAAGTAAACTTAAGAAGAATAAAACAAAAAAAAAAAATGATGTTTACACTGTAAAGATGTACAGTGAGTAAGTGTAAATTTTAAAGATGTTTTTAAAAATGATGCCAAAGTAAACTTAAGAAGAATAAAACAAAAAAAAAAAAATGATGTTTCTGATGTGCTGGGACATGTGAATAGAGACACTGGAAAAAACATACATTCAAAAATATATATTTTCACCTATGCTTTCTGCCTATGTCTAGTTTCATTATTAGAAACTCATCCCATTTCTTGACCAAAGCTAAGCATCCCTCTGTCCTTAACCAGTAGTTAATGAGGAATCTGACATTCTTTGAAGTTTTACTCTTATAAGTAGAGCTATTCCTTTTCCAGTTACAATCTTACACTCCATAAGCTACCCAAGCTTTACACAGATCTCTGCTCCTATTTCATCCCTAACTCACTAAGAGCTATTTTTCTTCTGCCATTCAGATTTTTTGTATCTTCCTCCAATTACTTAAATATGATCCGGTATGAAGAATTGAGTCAAATCCCTCTCTAGATTTTAAAAAAGCCATTGTCTCAGGGTCAGCAGCAGGTGGCAAGCTGTGGTGGTTAAAGTATTGGACTCCCACATGGTCAAACATGGTTTGAGTCCCGTACCTGGAGGCTTGCTTTCCCACTTTCTCTCTTTCTGGTGAGTACATGTGCCCTATAGCAAATTTTAAAAAAAACAATAATAATAATAATAATAAATAAAATTAAACAAATAACTCTTTATTTTTAATTTTTTTATTTTATTAATTTTTTTTAATTTATTCATTTTCTACATTAATTCACTATACACCAT